ACTATAAATTTACTATGCAGTTGACTTTAAAATGTGACATTTCTACATTTTTCTCAGAAAAAAAAGGACTATTTAAAGTGATTTCCTATTAAAACATATTCTTAACTCCTTGTCTTGGACACCACAAGTACTTGAGAGTAAACAGAGAGACAACATTTACCTTATTTATGAAAAGGCTAAACTTTGCCCAGACATAAACCACTAATATATTCCTGCTAAAAATTTGCCTATTAAAAAAATCCCCAAAAAGTTATAGAAAGGAATTTTATTTCTCTTACTTGTCATGTCTGTTACAACTGTTTTCCACATAATAATTTTTTTCCCTCAATTCTAATATATTTTGAGATACTAAAACCAGGCTGTCCCATTGCAAGGAATTTTGCCTCAAATACAATGGAAATAAAAACAAGTCTCTAAGAACAATCATAAAGTAAACAGAGACTGTATCCTACTTCATTATATCTGGAAATGGGGCTATAGCTGGAATTATGTATAAACTAAGTTTCAGATCAGTTTAAAATGCTGGGTTTATTATGTCTTCAGAATATTTTTATTCTATTGTAAACTCAGTTTATGGACTTCAAGTGATGGTTTCTCAGGAAACATTTTCCTTCTCTAAGATCCTACTTCCAGGCACAAAGTTTCTATATTATACAGTCTCTTATTTTTGTATTTTTCTTTTTGTGCTTTGAGAAAATATTTTTTTAATTTTTCCAAAAGCAAAATAAGTGGCAAAAGGTCTCATAGTTAGGCAGGCATCCTGGAAACAGACCAGAAAACTGTTGCACAGCTCGGAGTTCTTTACTCCCTTGCACACTCAGGAGAAAAAGATAGCCTGAGGCTCTCTAACAGCAAAGAAAAGTTTAGCCAAAGTATGAGTTCACGTTTAAAATCCTTTTTAATGTAGCAAAGAGCTACATTAGAGTTTTAAATCTGAGCATCTGTAAACCATGAAAATCCCGCTAGATGGTGCTCAAGAATACACGGTCCCTTGGACTGGCAAACCCCGTGGACTGAATGGCACAGGTGATTGTGTTGGTCAGGATGTTAAATGGTTTATAGCTTTTAGAGGTTTAGTCTAAAGTTACTTTAAAGTTCCTGAGATCCTGGTAGAGGAGGAGAATTAGATATTTCAGAACTGTGTTTCAAAGTATCTGCAATATTCAGAGACTTTCCCATTGTTAACTGTGCACATAGGATTAATCTTGACAGGGGTCCTTTAAAATTCCAGAAAAGGTTGATCTCATGGTCTTGGTCGGAAAAGATTCTTTTCAATCTTCCTTATAAAGACTTGGTGCTGTTAAGGCACATCTGCAAGATCTGTAGCTTTTGAAAATACAGGCAAAATACATGGGATTTTCTAGTATAAAGATTAGGAGAAGTTCAGAAGAGGTCTGACATGGTCTTTGTTTTCAGACCTTGTCAGTCTTTTAAACTGAGGCAACAGCCACTGTTATATTCCTGTAAGGCACAGAGTCCCTCTAAGCTGGGAGGCATCTTTGGATAATTTGAGGCAATGGGAAGTGAGTGGGGACTAAATTTCAATATAGCATGTCACGTAGTCAATAAGCTGTTACTGTGTATGCCAAAAAGCAAGTTTAAGAAAACAGCAGCACCACCTTCACACTGTAGTGGACCCTACTGATTAGCTTTCCTCTGAGAGCAGGGGTTACCAGATTAAACCAGACAGGCCCATAAACAGGAAACTCCAAACTGTAAATTCATAGGTAAGAATTTGACTTGGCCAGAAGTGACCTATTTTTGCTCATGTACTATTAAGAAAATGGAGAGTGGTAAGGTTGAATCTAAGGTGCTTCTCAGTCAGAATCCAAGGCTGTGGTTTTAGGTGACTGCTTATATTTTAGTATAACCTAGCCACTCAGGTACTGCCTTTGACATTCATCAGACAAAGGATACTGAAAAAGGTCTATATTGAACAATTGTTTCTAGAAATTATATGAGATTTTCTGGCCACATTTGCCATCAAAAAATAACTAATGGAAAACATAGCTATTATTTTTAATATTATCTGTAAAGAATGATGGGAAGTATTATTCTTCCTTTCTGTAGAAATCAATTATTGAATGCCAGTAAGAAAGCAGAGTTCATTGCTCCTCAGAGCAAAACTATGTCCATTTTTCCATTAAAAAAAACCTAAACAAAAGAAGTTTCCCATGAACAAAGAATAGCCTATGAAATAAAGGCAAAACAAAAGAGACTGAACCTTTGTTTCCTTGTGCAGAATGTCTCTGACTTAAGAAAAAAGGAAAATAATGGAAAGCTTCTTTGATTGATTTTGCAGCTAATAGAATAGCACAAAAGCATGCTAATTGCTTTAAAATAGAAATGGAGAACTTAATTCAAAATTGGCATAAACGTGCTCAGCTTCTATTAAATTAGCACTGAGTGAAAACTGACTCTTCAGAGTGCCTATCAACAAAAGTCTGTATATGGAAAAGCATAAACCAAGAATTATATGGTGCTCATTTTCTATATTAAAAGCAAGGGTTACATTGCACTCTGTATTCCTTTATTACTCTGTACTATAGATTTTTCAGTATGGTGATACTAAATATAGTATTGCATTAAACCTAAATTAGACTTCAGTAGATCCAGAGTAATTCAGGATTGTTAGGCCAGGGAAGATGACTGAATGAAATGCCCACTTGAATGAGATTTGGTCTTGCCCTCTTTCCATGTGCCTTACCAGTTGTCATGCTAATTTCTTCTAAAGTGGTGGTGATGCTGGCCTTAGCAAATTATTGTGAAACCTCCCTGTAATTGATAATGCAAAGTATATAGAAATGTTCATTACATGAATTTTGCTTTAAAGTTGCAGTGGAACATTCCCAGCAGGAGTAAGGAAAGGTCTTCATTGTGAAAAATTCCAAGTATATTTTCAGTAAAAGGCAACCCTTTTTCATAACCATGGCACACAAATCAATATTGTTGTTCTATACAATGTGCCAAAATGAATAGTAGTAACACAAGCTTCTTATCAGTAATGCAATTTCTTCAGGGCTATCTCCAAGCTCCAGTGCTCTTCAGTACAGGAAGGTGAATAAGATGTCAATGGGATAGATTTAGAACATTTGGGGTCTGTGTTGTTTATAATATTTGCCAATTCTTGATTAAGAAGATCGACCTGCCCAGGCTTTCAAGGTCAGTGCAATTAGATAAGGATGTAAAAAAAGGTGAAGAGCTGTTCTTGGAGATAATGTATAAGCAGTTGCAAAATGTTTCACCTGAATTTTAAAAGTACAGATCTCTGGAGTAGTGGGTGAAACAGGGTATTTACTGAATCTTAGCAAAATGGATTAGCTCAAAGAAAATGGAAAGATACAGAAAACAATTGACTCAGTTATTGAGTAGTAAAGTCAAAAAGCTTCTGCTGCAGTATAGCCATATACTGCAGTCTCTTCAGCTTTTATAAATTAGAAAGGCCATGCCTGGGTCAGTACTTCACTCTGAGTTTAGAAATCTGAGTAACAGATAGTTACAGCTGGAAGTAGATTTGGTAACATGAAAGTAGAATCTTCTGTGAGTCAATGTGAAGTCATACCATAAAAAAGGTATGTAATTTGTGGTGGGGTACAGCCTCATCTCTTTCTGTCAGGGGAAGGTATTAAATTCAGTTCTGGATAAATTTCATCTCTGGCTCATTATTTTGCTCCATTATTCTGCGTTTTGCCTACACAGATTCCTGCTGAGTACTATAAAACAGTTACTGTATTTTATCCTGAAAGGATAACTACTTCTTTAACTGTGACTTGAGAATTCTTCATTTGGATACTCACTTACTTCACCAGGGAATGTTGGAATGATGATGTTTAACTTTAAGCTTTCAGAGTTAAAAAATTGCAACTAAGCAGCCATTGTGAGGGCAGTAGTAATAACAGTAACAGCATGGAGTATTGAGTATTTTTTCCACATGATAATGTAGTCCCTATAAATTATAGGCTATGTGATTCAACACTTTAGCATTATGATTGGGCATTCTGTAATCACTGGAAACTGCTTAAATAGTAAAGCACATAAAAGGAAAGGTGATTGCCATGAAATACTGTGTTAATTTCACATAAAAGGATGTTTAAACAGACTAAAATGCTGGTACGTGTGAGATCAGTTTATGAATCCAAGAGACTATGGAAGGAGAAATACAACAAATCAGGAAGAAGCAAGGGAAGTGCTGGCATAAGCTGAAATCGTATGGGGCTGTAATACATGCTTTACACTTTATTACAATTTTCCAATTAGCTGACTGCTGGAAAACACCCTGGCTTAGTGTGGAAGCAGCACAGTTTGCTGTTGCTCCTGGGTGTTAGAATGCAGAGACAATTACGCCATATTGAGAGTGTTATGGACAAACAGAGCAGAACCACCCATGTAACCTTTTAATAATTAAAATTTTCTGCTTTTCTAAAATGCTTTCCAAGTGTTGCAGCAGGTTCAGGACCCTGTTCGTGTCTTGTGTGCTGAAAAAGTGTTAATGCTTTACATACTGTATATGGAAAAGCTTAATTAAAAAATACTGTGAAAATGATATTGGTATCTTTTCTCCTCACATGGGTCTGTAAGGCTTCTCTTTATGAATGGCTTAAGGATAATAAATATATTGTGAAAATTAAAGAAAAACAAATCTTTTTTTTGCCACTGTTTATATCTCCAGTATTTACAAAGACTGAATCTTTGTGAGTCAGCCAAATGCTTTTCAGTCTTTCTCTTTCCCACTATGGTTTTTGATCCTCTGCTGTTTTCTCTTTCTTATTTCTAGTATAACTCTGAGACATAGCCCAAGGACAGCAAAAACCTCAGGTTGCTTAATTCACCATGTTTCTATAAAACCTTATGCTGATTTACACCCAATAAACATCTGGCTCTAGAATGACTAATAACTGCTGTTGTCCGGAGACAGAAATCGAACAGAGCAGAGGGTTTTGTTAACATAATAAAATACTAGAGGAGTGAAAATAATCTAATAGTCTGAAATTTCTTTTTTAGGTGACAACAGGATAGAAAATCTTGATTCAGCTGAACTACTAGATATCTAAAGGGGTATATAAGGTACTTAGAAACTCATCCCTCTTCTGCCCAGTTAACACCCTTGAGTATTACCTAACATAGAAAGTATGTACCTGTGTTTTGCTAGAAAGGTCTGACTGGTATCCATGCTGATAATGCAAATAATGCAGAGTCAGTTATGTATTGTACATACAAAGGTGCCTACTCATGTTAAAGTATATGTCTTATTACAATGTATGTCTTATTACATCAAAATCTTGGAAGCTGTGATTTCAGTTTATCAGGCAGCATGATTTTATATTAAATACTACTGCAAAAAATTGTATATTTAGTTAGATGAAAATGTCAGAATTGGTAAGGAAGACAGACATAGCCACACATAGCATAAGCATTAATTCTTCTATAAGCAGAAGTATTTTAAAAATTATTTTAATGGAGTAGATTTAGGTTAAATGATATTAGATATTTAGAGAACTCAGTCCTTTAACAGAGGTTAGGCTTACACCTCTATATCTTCAATGATGTAGTAACTTTACAGACCCTGCAAATCACAGTATGGAAACACCATAGTTTCAATAAGATGTCAGCTCAGGTACAGCAGAAACACACAATCCTCTTCTTACAAACACCCAGAAATTTCCAGATTTAATTGAAAATTCTGTTTCAATAGATCACAGAGCTATATAACTTTTTTTATTTTCAGAAGTCTTTCTCTTTCCAATTTAGCATGCATAATGCTTGTAAGTTGAATTCAGTGAAAATGAAAAGCTTTATGTTTCTGAGGCTCATTTCTATGTAAATGAACTAACAAGCATGTGCACAGCAAAGCAGAGGCTATAAAAAGTAAAATGGAGTTTAGTTTACCAATATTTTGCAAGTGTTTTAACAGCTTGCACAATTAAGTTTGGAACTATGGTGAATTGGCTTTGTGTGTGTATTTTTATCTGTTTGATTGACAAAATTTTTCCTTTGTTTAACTCTAATTACCTTTTTGAATTACTTTCAAGTTGGAGATTTGCATGTACTAGACATCATGTATCATTGCCATCCTGTATTGCATGAGGATATATCCATATGTCCAGTTGCTTGTCTGTCAGGAGCTGGGGAACAGAGAGAAAATATATGACACTATCAAAATCCAAACTACTGTCCAAGAAATCTAAGTCTGGAAGAAATTGCAATTCTCAGCTCCCTTCATTTTGAGGGAAAATTCTCAGATATGAAGAGATATAACTTCTGTCAGGCTTAGGATGGAACTAAAACAACTTTACATGCTTCTGTGTGTGTAATCCTCTAGATTATGAGCTAATATCAAAAGCAGATATGAGACTCTTCTTTAAATAAATATTTTCATCCCGCTATGTAAACACACTGAGAATATGAGAACTGCATCACAGCTCTCAAGGATTTAGGTTATGTAGCAGCTAAAGATGGATTCCTCATAACCAAATGTAGATGCCTATGTATGACAGAATCACCCAGACTCCTCATTATTGAACAGAAAAGAAAAACATCTCATCCTATGTATTGACTTCTGAAGTAAACTGGAAAACTCTTTTCTAAACTTCTCTATTTTTCTCTTGAAAGAGTGAGTGACTAGCTTGGATGAAACATTTGTACAGCAGATATCTGAGGTCCTGCAAGGTTAATCTGCATTTATTTCTACATCTCACAGAGGCTTAGGTATAAGAAATGCTCAGCTGTTTATACTGGCACAATATTAAGCTTGTGCCAAAAGTGGAATCTATGGAGAGAATATAACTTTAAAGTCAAGTAATATTAGGCACCTCTGTGCTCACAGGGATAAGCAGGTGTTTGCTTGCTGCATAAGCAAGCAGCAGTTTTTCTTTCCAGCCCTTTTAATCCATTCCATGCTTTGCTGTAGGCACTGAAGACCTCTTCTGGAAACAATTCTGAATCTCCTGTGAAGTTTCTGATTATGTTTTTATTATCTCATCATTAATATGAAGAAAGAGCATTTTTCTTGTGGTAAGTATCACTATTACTGTATTAGTAAAACAAAAAAGTTGAACAGATCAAGAATTAGCTGACAGGTATAAAAATGGTATCTTTCCAAATACAACCTAGATGTGTTTCTGTATAAAACTCAATGATAGCTTCTTTGACTGACTTAAGGATTGACTCAATGGCATGTACAGAAATGAAAAAAAAACATGGCATAGAAAAATAAATGAAAAAAAAATTGTGGACTAAAATAATTAGAAAAAATGTTTAACAAGGAAAGTCTAGAATTATATACCTAACCATAAGAAAGCAAAGACACATCTATTGCAGCTTGGAATAGTGGCTCAGAAAGTGTTCAAATTCATAATGGGTAGATAATTCAATAGACAGATCTCAAAATAAACCCATAACACAAAACAATAATATAATATTGAATGTGTAAATAGAGACCAGGGAGTAGGGATAGGAACATTCATCCCTGTAGTTGGGTAAAATTGCATTAAAATGCTTTATGCAGTACTAGTGTTTGCATTTCAAAGTGGGCACCAGTAGAAATACTGAGAATTAAAAAAAAATATTTTGCAGCAAGAAATAAAAAGAGAGAATTCTGTGTAGTTTATTGAAGAGTTTTCAGAGTTGGTATGATTATACTCTATAGGTGTGGAGGAAGAAAGATGAATACCAAAGGACCATGTGGTGTAACAGGAGAAAATATAAAAATTTTTGATAGATCATGCTGGGCATATTGAAGCTAAAAATGAGTAGAGAAGGGTTAATTAACTCCTGTAACAACCTAGTAAAGAGAATGCTGAATTCAGTGTCTTTTGAGGGTTTCTGTTCAGGACTCTCAATCTTTGTAGAAGATAGGTGTTAGTGAAGTGCAAGTCAGAGTGGAGAAATTTAGGGATCTCTGCTATGTATATTGTCATATGAGGTGATGAAAAAGGTTCCTTCTGATTTTAACCTAATGTAATCTATAAATCTAGTATTAATCTACCTAAAGCAAGGGATAAGCATGTGCTCCTGACAGAAACACATCTAAATTTTTACCTCAACAAGATTCCCTTCACATGCCTCGTGTCACAACTGGCATAATCTATCACAAAAGGTGAGACAATAAACAAACCTTTAGAGTTGTGTAAGGGACTGGAGATCCAATTGGAAAATGACATCTTTTAAAACTTACAGGCCTTTTGAAGGGAATTTCATGGCTTGCAAATCTGGCTTTGAGCCACAAAGGGAAAAGGGGAAATCTCTAGCCAAAAAAGTTGCTTCTGATACTGAATTCTGCAGTCTCATCTTTTGGAGACAAGAAGAGAGTGTATAAGGCCTAGGGGAGAGTTTGCCATTCAGAATGCCATCACCTAAAACTTGTCTAGTCAGTTTTTACAACTACCAGCTGAACCACTTTTATCTAAGGTAATTTCATGTTGTGGTATAAAATGGGAGAGAAAGAGATCAGAGGTAGCTAGATGTCAGTAGGGCAAGTTGAAGAGTCTTATTGTATTGATAGCAAATGGAAAGTCTGGGAGGGTACAGAGAACAAGGAGGCTTTGTCTTTTGCAGAATGCTTATGCATTTTCAAAGCTTGTAATGAAACAAAATGCTTGACAGGACACTTGCCACAAACTTGGCAAGCATGATTCAAGGACGAAGTGAAACTACGGAGTTTGGTGTGATGCATTTGTTGCCATGTGGTTGTTTCCTTCCAGCTACAGGATCAAAAGCCCTTGCTCCAGTGTGTGTGGTACAAGTACTGCACTGCTTTTGGGAGGAACTGTCACTTCATGTCAGAATCTGTGTCCCCCTTGTGGAAAAAGAAAACATCTAGGTTTTTTGGTGGGGCTTAGTTCAGACAGGAAGAGATAATGGTATTTTTCAGATTTATCTGCTGTGTGACTTTTTAATTTACCCTAAAATAAGGCTGCAGTCCTTGCTATAATGTATATATAAGTGATTCAGTGACCATTATGTCTGCACATGGCAGAAAATAGCTTAATATCTTTAACAGAAAAATTCATCCCTGTTCCAGGGAGAATGTCTTTGAGGAACTGTTAGCAGCATAGAATTCTTTAGTCTATTCATGTATGTCCAATTGCATATATATAATAAATACACGTAAATAAGCACATAGAACATCTTAGTATTTTCTTAAAAATTATTCTACAATAGAAATTGTCATAATTTTTATTACATGGGACACTATAATAAATAACAGAGAAGTGTGTAAGAGATATGTGAACAACATCTGTTTGGTACACAAGTATGTAGGCAGAAAATATCAAAGCCCATTTAAATTCTGTTTCTTATTTTAAAAAGTGGTTGGCATATTTTTTGTTGAATCTGTCACTAAATGATGTTTAAAAATTTAGCATGAATAAATATTTTACTAGAGCTCCTGAGAAATATTAGTTGCTAAACTGATGAAAAAATTCTACAACAGACTTATTAAATACTTCAAAAACTACATATTGTTTCAGAGAAGGTAAATACCAATTCTAATTGGTCTTTATGGTGGTTTCAAACATAGATTAAAGGTGAACAAACATATTTCATCTTGATAAGGCTTCAAAGCAATTTACAGTTCATCTTGAAAAGGGAAATCTTTAGCTTTTTTAGTTAATACTTTGTGCTTCCATTTAAAAATCATATCTGAATAGAAAGTGCGTAGGGCCCTTTACCTGAAATCTAATCTACATGCAATGCAGATTTTTTTATTAGAAATTTCTTTTACTTAAAGAGATGTTAGAAAATACTTTGAAAAATGTTTTTTATCTTAGTTCAAATTCTCTGGGAAACAGAAAAGTTAGATTGAAAGATGTAATACTGAAAACAACTCTAACCCTACTGAAACCCAAGGAATAGTAATAAAAGTTGCTTCTACTACTCTATCTACAGAATAAAGTTAAAAAATTATTACAAGGAAAAATAGATTAATAGATAATATTCTAAAGTAAAGATGAGCCTTAAATCTGATAAGCAGTTTATCTTTAAGATAAGCAGTATTTCATATCATTGTAAAACAGATATTTTACTGAATTTTGAAAGTAATTTTACAATAGGGTTTTGATACTAAGCAATTCAAAGAACAGAGTCCCAGTAAATTTTAATATTGCTTAATAAAATTTGGATTTTATTCTGAGTTCTGAGAACCATTGTTTAGAAGATATATTCAAAATATGGGTAAGCACTTTAAACATGACTGTGGTGTTGTCAGTAGTCTTTATTTTATCTTAATTTGCTTACCAGAATAGTGGTGACCATATTTCCTAATTTCTGTGCTTAATCTGCAGCAACTTTAAGTTGCTAACCAAAGGGTAGAGCTAAAGTACATTTGTATACTTGAATGAATGCTGAGCAGCATCCATCATTGTGCCAGTCACATAAAGGACATGCACATTTTAATTTCCCACTTTTGAATGACATGGTAAAACCTGCTCAGTTTAAATATTGATGGAATTCTGTTGTTGTTATGGTAAGTCATCATAAAATATAACTTTCTTTTCCTTTGGTACTAATAATTTACTTTTGCTGGTTAGTTTTGAGTTGTATCAGCTTCCTAAAAGAGCTCACTCACTAGGCTCAAAAATGTGAATATTAGCAGAGTGGAGAGAGAGAAAGCAAAGAGGCTGAGAATAATGAGGGATAATTGTATCACTGAGTGTTGGATATAGGTGACATTAAGCTGAGATGGAATTACATGCTTTATTTCCTGTACTTAATAGAACCCATCTCTGATTCCATGTCAACACCCAACATATGAGGACAGCTTGCCTTTTGCATAATGTAGATTATACATGACAATGACTTTAGGTGTTTTGTCATAGACCTCTTTTTCCTCATGTTAGAAAAACAAATATTTACAACAGTAGAAGACATTTTTCAGCCCCCTACATCTGTTAGCTGAGAAAAAAGGGGAGAGGAAGTTATTTCTTTATTTTCCTTTACTTCTCATGAGAGTGCGCATTTTTGAGTAAAACAGAATTGGCTTCAGTGAAATACTTCAAGTCTTGGAAAATGGAATACTTCACATCTCATAAATTACTTCTCTGATCTGAAATAATTATATAATTATTTCTTCAAAAAGAATGAATGCAGTAGGCTCTTGGATACAGGACCAAGTATAGATGATAATAATTCCAAGATCTTGATATAGCCAAATAAAGAGTAATTAAGAAAGTTCCTCTGCTCTCTCTGCTATTTCATGATTAAAGAAATGATCTGTACATTGATAGAACATCATTCTAATAATTTTTACTTTGGACAGTCAAAATAGGTAATGGGATTTTAAAATTTCTGCTTTCTATCAGAGTGAATGAGTAGTATGTTATCAGTACAACATCACATCATTTTGTAAAGCTAATAATATGAGCAAATTACTCCAGTAGAATGAAGCATGCAAGACCTTACTTTTCTGTTTCATTGGATTATACAGTACCAAAATATAATGTATAATTAGATCAGAGCTTTTCAAGCAGCAAAAAGCACATTTGTCCATCGACCCTGAGACTCACTTGGTTAGAGCTGGGTGCTAATAACATCAGGGTTTGTGCATTCAATCCAGTACAGACCTTTCACTTAGAAATTGGACTTGATGATCCTTGGGGATCTCAAAAGGATAACCTTTGCAACACAGAATATTTTTTGATTCTGTAATTTATTCTGCAATTTCAGGATAAATTAAACTTCCGCAAAAGTGACTCAGTTTAATGGTCTTATTTTACAATACTGTGCATATATATATATATATGTATACACACTTTTTTTTTTGTTTTAAATATCAAAATAGAGACAATAGCACTGGCACCATTAATCTTTCATGGAAGAAATGCACAAAAGTCCTTTTGCTTATTTTGCTTGACCTCACAACAGATGACCATCTGGATAACTACTGTACATGGTGCCAAAAAAGTAGTTAACCCTTAAAATAAATAAATAAATATAATTAAAATGAAAATATGCCAAGAGTGTATAACCATAAGTCTCAGAGTCAAATCTACAAATACAGGTCAAATATTGACTGT